TATATATAGTAAAATAAACACTGGCGCCGCCAGTACTGTTACATTGCAAACCTTCTCTCTTCTCTCCTCTCTTCTCTTCTCTTCTTCTTCTCTTCTCTTCTCTCCTCTTCCTCTTATCTCTGGCCGGCCACACTGTCAAGATGGTTTAAGAAAAATGTTTGCAAAAAGTTTTAATTCCCGGGATCCATCCGAGTAGAGAGCATAACACTGCACCTTGCAGTCAAGGGAGAGGTCCTTCCCTGTTGGGCAGTGTTTGATCATATTGGGCTGAGAGGTTAAGTGTAAGAGACCATTAAGGGCTGATTACCTGATGGGCTATATCTTACTTAAGTCCATTATCCTTGGACCTTCATAGGATGGTTGGACTAAAGGATCATTTAGCTGTAAATGTTGGGCCCATTTTGAGTCTATAGCGATGAGCTCAGGGGTTCACTGCATTTGGCAGTGAATTCGGCTAGGCCTTTTAACAGAGGCTAGGCCAAACCCATGTGGGCTTATGTGAGGTCATTGTTGGGGTCCCACGCCATACAAATCAAACCTAAAAGGGCCAGCAACACTCTTGGGACGTGAGTCATATAGTTAATGGGCCTAAAGCTCATGATTACTATGATTAATCAAGTTGTCATATGACTACTTAAGCTGTCATGTGACATGGGTGAATATGGGTTTGGATATGGGTATGGAGAACCCATTCTCTTAAGAGGATAAGACCTATCTTATGATAGAGTCCAGATCCAAATAAAGATTTGGATAAAACCTCCTAATTCAATTAGGAGAGGTGCTCCTTAAAGGTTAAGAGAAGAGGAGATCGAACTGCTCCAGATCACTCTGCATTTTCAGCTCTCTCTCTTCTCCTCTTGCCACCTAAGAAACCCTAGTTTGACCTCCACTTTTGGGACTGATCTTGATCGGTTCTTTCTCTGTTTTTTTGCAAGAAAAATACAGAGAAAATTCGTGCTCACCTCCGCAGTTCGATCCAAGGTGTTGGATTGCAGTTTTGCTGAAAACTGCGTTGTTAAACCAGCTTCAACTTCAAGCTGCGCCATCTTCAGTGGAAGCTGGTTTTGGGATTTGATTTGAGCGTGAACTACTAATTCGGGAGCTACATTTGTGGAATCCGTATCAGGTATACATCTCCCTCTTGTTTAGTTTCAAATCTGATCTGGTTTCAATACAAGATCGATCCTAGAAAAATGCAGTTTTTCTAAAACTGGGAATACGATTCCCATAAGGTTAAAGGAAATTTTTGAAATTTTGCCCAGCCATCTAGCATGGTTCGGCCATCCATATGATGGATCCTACCCTTCAACATGGATTACATATGTAACAAGTTGGGAGTATATGACATATACTCACCAGCATGAGTGTTGGATTTGATAGTCAAGGATGTTCTAGTCTTTACATTTGGTTTAATTGAAAGGTGCTTTATCCAATTTGTCTAAACTTAAGTAATGTGTCCCATACTTAATTAGGGGCATAAGTGTTTTTGTACTTTGATACAAATGTATAAATAAGAGATTGTTGGTTGGGAGAGAAGAAGAATTCTCCCTAACCATTTCTTTCTATTTCCTTCTTATCTTCCTCTCCTTTTTTTTCTCTTTCTCTTTATCCTAGGACTGAACCAGTGCAAACCGACCCATTATCACTTACTACTTCAACTCATGTCTTTTTTATTCTACCCCTAGCCCTTCTAGTCCCTTCAACTTGCAACATATCACTTCTTACAGGTGTTGTGAATGGTCTTTTATGCACATGACCAAATTATCCTAGTGTACTTCTCTCATTTTATCAGGAGCTACTCCTAGGCTCCTTCAAATAACTTCATTTCTGACCCTATCCTTTCTAGTTTTCCACTCATCCATCTAACCATATGCATTTCTGCCACACTCAGCATAGAGGTATTTATGTCTATCTACTGTTATAATTTATAAGAACTCAGAATAGTCAGTTTAATTTTATTAACTTAAAGGGGATAACATTGTAATTGCATTTGTTTTGTATACACAATGAGAGATCTGATTGACTGAGACTAACTTCTCTCCCATTAGGCAGCCTCTTCTCTTCTCCACAATTACTGCTTTGTTTTCCCTTCCATCTTCTCTGCTTCTAATACTAGCAATCTGAATTTAAAGGGAGCGAGACACCACTATCCTCTGATATGACTGACAAGGTTTATCTGACTGATCTGTCATCAATATGAATATTGTCCACAGATCAAAAACCTTCACAAATCTCAAGGCATCAGCTCTGCAAAATAAGAGAAGATATCCAACTCTAAGCTCAACACTAGCATCAATCCTTTGAAAGCCCCTTTGATTGGCCAGCCAATAACTCTCCTACAACTCAGGAACATATTGAAAAGTTCCAACCAGAAGATTAAGCCCTCTGCTTCCAATAACAACTCACTTAGTAGGCAATCCAGTCAGACAAGAATTTTTTTGATGAACATTGTGCATTAATCATGGTTCATTGTCGATATAGACTGTTCAATAGAAGCAACCTAGGATCTTGTTAGAATGCTCGAGTCAGGGGTATTTTGGTGTATCTTATTGAAAGTGAAATGTCTATTGTATCTGAGTTTAAGTTGTGTCCCATCTTTTATGAGGGACAAAATTGTCTTTCTTGTAACTCAAGTTTTTCATGAATAAAAGTCAAGTGGGTCGGCTAGGAGAGTGACTTTTGAACATCCTCTCTTCTAGTCTGGCTGAACACTCTTCTCCTCTCCTTCTTTCTCTTTACTTTCTTCTTTCTTCTTCTCTACTTTGACCTAGAAACAACTAGGGTTTATTCACAGATCTTTTTATATTAAAATGTAAGTTAATCATGTCAGCAATTTTACATTATGTTGGGCGTGCTATCAACAACTTCAAGTTAGAGGAGAAACCAACTCTAATCATCTACAGAAAGAAACAATGCCCAACTTCAAGTTAGAGGAGAGCCAATGATAATCAATTCTGAAACCATGCAGCATGCCAATCTTAGATGACATTATTTGGAAAAGAAATGATGAATGGGACATCATAAGGACAACCAAATTAATGAAGAGGCTAAGAGATTCAAATAAGCTGGAGTTCCACTGAAAAAAATGAATCCTGCATGCTTGAAAGTTCATGCATAAACAGTTTGATGAGTAAAATAACTCTACATATGTGATTGGTTTCATGTGTTTTAAATAAGAAGAAGAATGGATCAACTAATTAGAGAAGAAAGACAAACCTGATCTCAGACTCCTTCCTCTCACGAGGGCTTACCTAAATGGAGAGAAAGAAGTTACATTAAATTACTATTTTCTCAAGAAGAAGCATCAGATACAAATAGTCAAATACACAGATGTCAAAGTCAAGTGTCTACCTCACTCCCATTTAGTATCTGAACTCTTGCTAAACGAGCTATTAGAAAAAATCTTGGGATACCACCTTTTCCTGGATCGGCTATTGGATTGTCAGAAAGCCTTATGTCCTTCACACGATTTGTACAAGAAAAACAATCAACTCAGAAGAAAGTAATTAAGAGGATGGCTTACACAACTCTACAAGCAACAGGCAAACAATATTGAGAAGTGGAAAAAAAATTGCTCCTAGTTTTTCTTAAGTAAGAACCAAATTAGATGCTTCAAAACCAAATAGGAAAATAATTAGAATAACCAATTCATGCTATGCAATTTACTATGACAGGAGATCAAAGACTTCTAAGAACTCAAGTACAGTTTCATTATAAATAATCTTACCATCAAATTGGGGAAGGAATTCAAAGAATCCACCGAGGACAGATTTTCAATCATGTTACCTCCTGAAGCATGTTATCCAAAAATTGTAAGACAATTATAACAAATAAACCAAGACCACCATAAAAAATTCAGTAAATTTCATATGAGAAATCAAACTACAAATAAAACTCAATAAATTACCTAGAAGAAGACACTGCAAATTCTCAAAGGGCTTATAGCACTTCTCCAATGCTTCATTACCATCCTGCAAATCTTGCCTTGGATCATAATCAGGATAAAAGATGTTTTTCAAGTTGTTCTTGTTCAAATGAAGCTGCTCCAATCTGAATTCAAGAGTCAAGTTGATTACTTTCCAGAGCTTTATATTGTAAAAAGATAGTAACCTGAGAATAAGAATTACAAACAAGAGCAGGTTTCTTTCCAGTACCTTTTTAGTCGAGAAAGCTTTAGAATTTCATCCCATGTATCAATAAAATTATCTTCCAAATTTAAAAGACGCAAGGAGTTGAACCCTTGAACATAATTAGAAGATGCAGGCTGAAAAAAAAGGACAAAAAGGATAAACTTTTATTAGCCATGTACGGCATGTTGTATATATGAATAGATAATAGATTTCTTTAGTAATAAGGATTTATAAAAAGACAATTATCAAAAAAACAGTGAGGTGAGAGACACCCCCATATGTTGCTATCAGTGTTTTGAAAGATACTAGAGGCACACAATAGAGGTTTATGAGGCATATATCCCCTTTGTGCTTTATAATTTTTTTTCAAAAGTTTTGTGCTTTATAATTATACAGGAGTATGCCTCGTACATTCTTACCTTATAAGATATTTATAAAAAAAATATTATAAATAAAAGTAGGGCTACCATTTTATTGTGTACCTCATTATATAATAACAAAATAGAGAGAATGAAAACCCTTCAAATTTGTTTCTTGTAATATTACAATAAAACATTATAAATTGAAGTGGGGGCACCATATCTTTCATTTCTTTTAATGCATTCTTTTTTATCAATAACATAACCAATTCATTAAATTAAGTAGCAAGGCAGTACAAGAAATAGAAAAGGAAGAGATAAGCTCTCTTAACTCTCCCAAAACAGATAAAATTTACAATGTTGCCCAAAAATACTGATTTCTTCCCCCCTCTTGTTTAACCAAAAAAGTTGGCAAATGAATTAGCATCTCTTTTCACCCACAGAATAATGACCTCCATGTCTTGTAGCAAGCTTCTAATTCTTCTTTTCTCAAAGATGTAGCCCCACCATCCAACATCCTCCTCTTTTTGCAGCCAATTAATAACCAGCTTGGAATCTCCTTCAATCACCAATTTGCAGATAAGTAGTTCCTTAGCCTTTTTCACTCCTTCCAGCACAACCATTATTTCAGCTCTCAAAGAGTCACCCACCCCAATTGAGACCATAAAAATAGCAAATGCTCTACCATCCTCATCTCTGAGTACTCCTCCAATACCTAAAAGACCTAGATTTCCTTCACTACTACCATCAAAATTCAGCTTTAGAAGCCTCGATTAGGGGGAGACCAAGAAGGCCTAACCACAGACTTGGAGGAAGAAGAGCAAGCAATCTCAAACCACATCCTCATCAGATCACCAGCAGAAAAATATTCAAATAGATTTAGTGACTTCACCCATTGAGCCACTCTAATAGTTATGATTTCAAGTAAAGCACCCCTGATTCTCTCAACTCCTGAGAAGATTCTTTTATTCCTTTCTTCCCAAATCATCCAATACACAGCAACCCTTGCACACCTCCAAAGGGTTCTCCCCCTCTTCTTTGACCAGCTGAGAATATTAGAGCCAAACAGGTTTTATACAAAAGGTGGAAGGTTCCACCTCCGCCCAAACAAAGAGAAAAGCCATTCCCAAATTGAAGAGGATAAAGAGCAAGAGATTAATAAGTGAAAGAAACTCTCACCCTCAGTCTTACAAAGAGAATGCCAGTGGGGAGATAATGACCAACGAGGACTTTTCCTCTGGAGCAAGTCACAAGTATTAATTCTTTCTAGGTAACACTTCCAGCAAAAGCCACCAACTCTAGGTGGAGTAGATCTACTCCATACCTCTTTAACTGGAGAAGATAATCCCAGAGATAGAAGCCTTATGGTCACCATGGACACCGCCTACATCTGAAGAAATTAAAATGAGCTTCAATGGCTGCAGCATTGAAAATCCAGGAATTTCAGGAGTTGAGGGAGTATTTAGACAAACTGAGCGATGTACTGTCTCTCTATTCAGGCCCAATTGGTAATGGAAACTCAATAAGGTCAGAGGTGTTGACATTGCTATACAGGCCAAGACTTTCTATTGCAATATAATAGTGGAAGGAGACTCCAAAGTAATTGTGGGATAGCTGGAGAACAATAGTCAAGGAACATGGGTATAAAGATTTACCAAGACAAGTGAGGAAGTCAGCTACTGATATGAGGTTCTCATTCCACTGAGTGCCTAGGAGAACGAATAGCATGGATGATGCTTTAGCTAGACACGGGGCATATAGAGATTGTAATAATTCATGGAGAGAGAGAGACGAGAGAGAAAGAGAAGAGAAGAGAAGAGAGAAAAGAGGAGAAGAGGAAGATATGATTGAGAGACACGAAAAAAAACTATTCTGGCTGCCACCAGTTTAGTTATTTATATTAACTTAATATAAAAGGAATGGAAGATTACAAGTATGCCCCTGGTGGCACTCCCTAGTAACAAGCTAATAAGAAAGAAAGAAACTAACTGGTTGACAGCATCTTAAGCTGACAGCACACTAACAGCAACTGTAAAATAACAATTAAATAATCCTCACAACACTCCCCCTCAAGTTGGGCTGAATATGTCTACCATGCCCAGCTTGTCACATAACTCATTGCACCACGAGTATGGAAGTCCTTTTGTGAGGACACTAGCGAGTTGTTCCTTGGAGTTGACATNAGCGAGTTGTTCCTTGGAGTTGACATAAGGGATGCAAATTTCCCTTTTTTCCAATTTTTTCCCTTCTGAAGTGTTTGTCCACCTCAATGTGCTTGGTCCTCTCATGTAGGATAGGGTTGTTGGCGATGTTTATGGCTGCCTTGTTGTCACAGCAAAGAGACATAGGATTATGAACAACAACTCCAAGATCCCCTAGAAGATTTTTTAGCCAAAGGACTTCAGCCACCCCATGTGCCATAACTCTATATTCAGTTTCAACACTTGACCTTGCTACCACACTTTGTTTCTTGCTTTTCCAGGTCACTAGGTTTCCTCCCACAAATGTGCAATACCCACTTCTGTACTTTCTATTATCCACAGCACCTGCCCAATCAGCACCTGTAAAGACTTCCACCTTTAGGTGATTATGTTTACTGAAAAGTAGACCTGTTCCGGGATACTTTTTTAAGTATCTAAGAACTCTCTCTGCTGCCTCCATGTGTGGTTTCTTAGGAGAGTGAACGAATTGGCTTAGAACCCCAACTGAATAGGCAATGTCTGGATGGGTCATGGACAAATAAATCAACTTTCCCACTAACCATTGGAACTGTTTCACATCTTTCAGAGGTTCACCACCACAGTCACCCAACTTGTGATCAATATCCATGGGAGTATCTGCTAGCCTTGCGCCTAATTTGCCTGTGTCTTGTAATAGATCAAGGGTGTATTTCCTTTGAGAAATGAAGATACCTCTTTCTGAGCGGGCGACTTCAATTCCAAGGAAATACTTCAGGGGACCTAAATCTTTCACTTCAAACTTAGATGCAAACTCCAATTTCCTGTAATGATGATATCATCCACATACACTATCAATACAACAACCTAATCCTGGCATCTCTTCACAAAGAGTGTGTGATTAGACTGACATTGTTTGAAGCCTACCTGTCGAACTGCCATGTGAAACTTACTGAACCAAGCTCTGGGAGATTGTTTTAAACCATAAAGAGACTTTCTCAGCCTGCACACCTTATTTTCACTTCCTTTGGCACAAAATCCAGGGGGTTGAACCATGTATACTTCCTCCTCTAGGTCACCATTTAAAAAAGCATTCTTTATATCCAATTGATGCAATTCCCAGTCAAGGTTAGAAGCTAATGACAGAAGGGCCCTAATTGAGTTCATCTTAGCTACTGGAGCAAAAGTCTCATCATAGTCAACCCCGTACACTTGAGTGCACCCTTTGGCTACTAATCTTGCTTTGTACCTTTCAACTGTCTCGTCTACCTTGTGTTTAACTGTAAACACCCACTTACACCCCACTAAGTCTTTCCCCCTCGGAAGATCCACCAATTCCCAAGTTTGATTTTTATGAAGGGCATTAATCTCCTCCTTAATAGCATCTGTCCATTCAGGGCATTTTAAGGCTTCTACGACATTTCTGGGTTCTGGGAATAGGGATGCAATCAATTGCAAATAGAAAGCCTCGGTATGAGGGGGAAATGTGATCATAGGAGACATACTGGGTAATGGGGTGTTTGGTAGTGTACGCCCTGGCTCCCTTTCTTTGAACAATAGGAATGTCAAGGTCATCCACAGTAGGAGTAGGAGTAGCAGTATGTGCAATAGGGTTTGGACTTACCTCCTGGGAGTCTAACAGTGTCGGTTGCTCAATGTTTGGCTGCTATTACATTGTTGATCTCTACGACGTGTACATTGGAAGACACAAAAGGGAGCAAGGTCCGGAATAGAAGGAAGAGAGACTTGGCAGACCTGAACCTACTTCTCCTCTTCCACACTACTACTCTCCCCCTGAGGAGAAGTAGGGAAGAACGGTTCAGACTCAAAGGACACATCCATAGACACAAAAAACTTATGACTGACGGGATCAAAGCACCGATACCCTTTTTGAGAGGAGGGATACCCTAGAAAGATACAAGGTATGGACCGGGGGTCTAACTTACCTCGAGATGGAGACAAATCATGGACAAAGGCCCGACAACCAAAAACTCTCATGGGAATGGAAAATAAAGGGGACTAAGGGAACAACAATTGATGAGGGGCCATGTAGTTTAGTACTTTGGAGGGCATGCGATTGATGACATAAGCAACTGCAAGTATAGCATCCATCCAGAACCTTTTTGGAACATTCATGTGTAACATCATCCTGCGAGCTACCTCAAGGAGGTGTCTGTTTTTTCTTTCTGCAACACCATTTTGTTGTGGTGTTCTTGCGCATGAGCTCCTATGAATAGATCCGTGGGAGGCAAAAAACTCATTGAGCTCACCATGGA